CGTCCCAAGTCTATATATCTTGCAACCAAACTTCCGTTGTTGGTACTCTACGGTCATCATTCAGATGCAGTGGCTCTTGGGGAGATGCTACTTCCGATGCTTAGCAGTCTCTGGTCAGAACGACTCAATTACTCGGTCCGATACTACTTATCGTTAGCATACATGGCTGTTCTCCGAGAGAAGCCCGCTCATAGCCGGAGAGACGAGATGGTAAAACATGTTCATGAGACCCTCAAATTGCTCGAGACATGTTGCACCACCACTGATGTCAACTACCGAGGCTGGATACATCTTCTCACTGCCGTCCTCGGGGATGTTAATGCCGATCCGCAATCCGCGCTGGAGAATTATGAGGCAGCCATGGAGCATAGCGAACGTTACGAGTTTGCATTGGACGAAGCGTTTGCTCTCGAGCTCTACACTGGATGGTTGGTAGACAAGAAGGCCTACCGGGCGGCCCGACATTCTTTGAAAGACTGCATCTCGGTATATCGGAGGATGTCAGCATACGGAAAAGCAAATCACTTCGCGAGTCGGTATGAGTGGCTAGTGCGTAGCGGCGCCTCGCTCACGACAGTGGACCAAGCTGTACAAACCTCCCTCGTAGATACGGGTAACACGGCCTTCAGACTGGAGCAAAATGATCATGATCAATTTCTGGGCGCGGAGACTGCAGTCGATCGAACACAGAACTGGATTGTCCCGGAAACACGGCGCCAAGAGTCTGCTCCAGCTCTACACAACGGTCTCTCGGCTGTCGGTCTGGACATGCTAGACCTATCCTCAATCTTGGAGTCGAGTCAAGTCTTGTCTAGCGAGCTCGTCGTCGATAAATTGATGGCGAAGATGAGTACCATTTTGCTCGAATCTACGGGCGGTACTTTGTGCGGCATAGTGATTGAAGACTCACAAATCGAATGGTCGATCGCATGCGTTGCCACCAACGAGCCTGACAACGACAGTGGTGTCTCTTCCGGCGTCACATCCTTCCCTGCCAGTCAACCTTTAGATACTGTGGACGATGTTGTTGCGCGGCAAGTGACGCTCTACACACTCCGCTTCCGAGAGATAGTCTTCGTCCAGAACCTACTAGAAGACGACCGCTTCTCCAACGTTTCTGATGCCTACCTTCAACGGAATCCCGAGGGGAAAGCAGTCATCTGCATCCCGATTCTGCACAGCGATCACCTTCTTGGTTCAATATACGTCGAGGGCCCGCCGAATTCGTTTACCGAACGCAACACCCAGGTTCTTCGGTTACTGGTGAATCAAATTTCCATCTCCTTAGCTAATGCACTGCTTTTCAAAGAGGTGGAAAGAGTATCCGCAAGCAACGAAGCCATGCTTGAAATGCAGAAACGCGCTTTGTCACAGGCGCGGGCAGCAGAGATCAAGGCGAAAGAGGCTGAAGCCATAGCTGTGCGTAACATGAAGCTGAAAGAAGAAGCCGCGAAGGCAAAGAGTTTGTTCCTGGCCAACGTGTCGCACGAGTTGCGTACTCCCTTGAACGGCGTGATCGGTATGTCTGAGCTGTTGAAGGCTTCACCGCTAAACTCGGAACAAACTGGATACGCCGATTCAATTCGTGTCTGCGCCGATACGCTGCTCTCGATCATTAACGACCTTCTGGATTACTCCAAGCTCGAGGCTGGCAAGATGAATGTCTTGGAGATGCCCATTTCATTGAGCGAAACAATTGCGGAAGTAGTCCGCGCTTTGGCCTACACGAACGCTGAAAGAGGCCTCAAAACCATTGAGCAATTGCATCTGGATCCAGAGATGCTCGTCATGGGCGACCCTGTTCGACTGCATCAGATTCTCATGAACTTGCTGTCCAACAGCTACAAGTTCACGCCACGAGGATCTGTCACTGTCCGCGCTGTTGTTGACCAAGAGACAGACGACTGGGCAGATGTGACATGCAGCGTTATAGATACTGGCATTGGTATTCCAGACGAACAGAAGCAGAAATTGTTCCTTCCTTTCTCGCAGATAGAGTCCAGCTCTGCTAGGAGCTACGGCGGCACTGGCCTTGGTCTGAGTATCTGCAAAGCCCTCATAGAGAACGTTATGCACGGTACAGTACGTCTCGACAGCCAACCAGGCCAAGGTACTACAGTCACATTTTCGTTGCGATTCAAGAAAGTGCCGAAAGCGCAAGCAGGCAGTCAGCAGCAAAGGACACGAGAGCCAGACCCTATGGCTAGGTTCTCAAGCCAGGAAAATAACGGCCATGAGCAACTGTCGGGTTCCTGCATCGATCTTTCTACGATACCCAGACGAGAACTACGGGTCTGCATCGCGGAAGACAACTTGATCAATCAGCGCATCGCAATCAGCTTCGTGCAAAAGCTTGGGTTCAAATGCGACGCTTATCTCGACGGATACAAGACTATCGACGCTCTTGAGCGTGCTTCGGAGAATGGGCGCCCCTTCCATCTTATTCTCATGGATGTGCAAATGCCGCATTGTGATGGCTACGAAGGTAAGGATTGCTACTCGCGCCTTGGCTAGCACATGAATACTGACCATGTATAGCTACGAAACTGATCCGCAAGCATCCCAATCCCGAGATTCGAAACGTACTTATCATTGCCATGACTGCTTCCGCTATCCAAGGAGACCGCGAGAAGTGCCTGGAATCCGGTAAGTTCTGGCAGCTGAATCCACGTTTGAAACATACGCTAACCTAGTAGGCATGAACAATTACCTCGCGAAACCGGTTCGCGCGCAGACGCTCAAAGCGCTACTGGACTCATACCTGAACAAGAACAAGGAGGTGGAGGAAATCCCCAATCTTGCGATCGAGGCGAAGAAGTTGGTCAAACAAGCATTGAACGAAGCTGAAGCGCTGCCTGATGTCACGAGTGGACACAAGGATCTCGAGAAAGACGTGCAGAATGGAAATGCTGCAGAAGACGGGAAGAAGCTGGAAAGGCCGTCCAGCGTTCGTATGAGCACCACCCAACACATATTACCCAACGGCAAGACGGAGCCAGTGCCGCCTTCCGAGTAAACCGCATTTTCTTGGCCAATTTAAGGATTGACTGGTGGATGTTTTGCGGCTTTTCGAGTTCCCGTTCGCGTTGTTATAGGCCGATCGTTCTTGCATCGCATGGCGTTATGCTCACTGTAGGAAACCATAGAGGACTTCCTTCGTGTTCCAGGTACATCGTAGCATTCTCGCCGGCAGCGCTTGATGATTGAATATTGCTGCAGTGCGAATTTGAATATATACCCGTTCGATCGGTTCATCGTGTTGACTCAATCTTCTTCCTGTCAAAGCTTCACCGTGCGGGGTTACAATACGATGCAATGACGGCCCAGCATGCGCACTCTCAGAACAGACATTTCGACGCGTAAGCTCGCAGCACGAGCAACCTCACGGCATCACTGTGCTCGCCGGATCATCGGCCAAAGCACGACTTGGCGTCAGCTCCCTAGCCAGCGTGTCGCCGTCCCCACTTTAATTAACGCCGAAAAATGCCGCGCACCCTGCGGCGCAGTGACTGAACCACGAAGTGGCTCATGAAGTGGCTCAACAAAGCGGTGGCACAGTCGCTGCCAATAGATCGTCACTAGAGTCAGCGTTCCGCGACACAACTTTTACACCTTATACAACACCGGTGGTGAGGATGAGTCTGCTCTCGCAGATCTGCATGTCAGAAAAGGGCTTGCGTCACCCCCTTCCCCCTTCTCGGCTAACGGGATGTGCGTCAATTGGGCGTGGGCGTGGGCGTCTGGGTTAGCCGGCATCCACGGTTGAGTTTGTTGGCAGAGGGTTGAGTCTGTGGCCTTTCTTCCTGGTTTTTGGTTTTCCTCTTTCATGGGTTTCACTTCTTTCACCATACGTATGCTCTAGGAACTGAATATTCACAACGATACGCTTGATCTCACCTCTATTGTTCTATTTAGACTAATCATTATCTTGACTACTCCGCGAAAAGACAACTGGGTTGAATATGGACACAGACACCATGACACGACCATCTCTAGAATCCAAGCGACATCACACCTTCGGCCTCCGTCGCAGCAGAAGCCACCTGTCCAGCAAACCATCCTCTTCACACCTCTTCGAAGGCACCGACGCTGTCCTCCAAAATCGCAAAGTTGCTCTTCGAAATGTCATACAGACGCACCACGCTCTCGAACGGAAATACGGCCACGTCGCAACACCAACGAGTACCTCCAGCGAACGACCGACTTCATCTTCCTCCTCCATCTCCTACGATCCCTTCACTACTGATTTCGGCGACCTATCTATGCCCGACGCTGAAGTGCGCACGTTTCGGTATCTTCTTCACAGATGGGAACCCAAGAACCTGGAGTGGGCTGATCCAGAATTCGAAAAGGTGATCGAGCGACGAAGGGAGAGCTTCGAAGAAGCGGCCATCAAGCACTTCATTAGTCGGGTTGCGCTGTGGGATGCCAGTGGGCAGGAGCAACAGACCCAGTCACGAAGCGTATTCTCAATTTTCGGCAGGCGGAGGAGATCGAGGGCGAAGAGCGATGCGAGTAGAATGCTAAGCATCGCGGAAACGACGAAAGAGGATCCTGACTTGGACGCGTTGAAGGAAGTTACTACGAGAGAGGGGTTGGCGCAACTACTATCGACGTTATTGAAGGACGATGGGCCAGCGACCGCGAGATTGAGAGAGGAGTGCAAGCAGGCGATGCATGAGTGGTATCAGACGAAGTTTATTACAGATGGGTCGACGGTCAGTTGAGAGGAGGTGCATCTACATCATCTGGTTGGACTTCGTAAAATCTATGGCTATCATATTTTTCGATATACTGCATCGGTAATAAATCATGGCTTTCGGGTTAGGGAAACGTAAATTTGTGCAGATGCGACGAAGTTCAGTGTTCTTGTGCTTGCTGTACCCCAGTGATGTCATCAGCACTATCCGCATGGCTCCGCTTCCGATCGGAACCAGTCCCGTCACCCATCTCAAGCTGTTGTGAAACGAACTCACAAACACGGCTACGTTCCATCCAACATGCCTTTCCTCCACGTCGGCTACAAACGCTTTCACTACACCGACTTGAAACCACAAGATGGCAAGACACGCGAGACACTCATTTTCATGCACGGGCTGGGCTCTTCGCAGAATTACTATCAGCCAGTAACTCAAAGCTTGGTCGCGAATGGATTCCGCTGCATTACCTTTGACAACACAGGGGCCGGTCGATCGACGTACACATTTGTCGAGCAGAGTATCGAGACGCTAGGAGAAGATGTGATTGGGATTCTGGACGCGCTGAACGTCGACAAGGCTGTGTTCGTTGGGCACAGCATGGGAGGGTACGTCAGCGACCTCTCGGGCAGAAAGAAGCCTTGGAAGACGCGACTGCAACGAACACGACAACTGACACGTCTCTAGCATCGTCGGTGCACACCTTGCGGCTGAGCGAAGTGACCGCATTGTAGCAGCTATCCTGATCGGCCCTGTATATCCCAGCCCTGAGGCAGGCCCCCGCTTTCACGAACGGATAGAAACCGTTGCAAAAGACGGTATGCAACCCATGGCCGACAGCATCCCACATGCTGCAGTCGGGAAGAAGGCGTCTCCACTGGTCAAAGCGATGATCCGCGAGTTATTGCTATCGCAGGATCCAGCGGGTTATATTTCCAACTGTCGAGTCATTATCAATGCAAAGCCGCCTCAGTACAGCAAGATCAGCGTGCCCGTACTCATTCTCGCTGGTGAGGAGGACAAGAGCGCACCGCTTGAAGGATGCAAGAAGATGTTCGAAGAGATTGGTAGCAGCGAGAAGAAGTTGGAGGTTATGGAGGGAGTCGGGCATTGGCACTGTCTTGAGGCTTTTGACGAAGTCGCGAAATTGATTGAGGGGTTTTACCACGAGATACAATAAGCAGTCCGTACAGGTTATTTCCGAACGACCCGCGGAACGGGGCACGCACTCACGGAACTGTAGGGTAGTGGAGAAGCTCGGCGTTCGTTTCATCGCACAGGCCCTCTTACTGCGAGTCAAAAGGGAGGAGTGTACCTGCCAAGTCATACCGCCTTTCTGTGATGCTTCGCACTGTGTTCGCAGTGTGCGCGTTGTGCCTGCGTGGTGGAGTGGAAGAGGGGTTCGTGAGGATACCACGTGCGAGCCGATCTTCCAGACGACCCTTGCGATGACTAGCTTAGCGACAAAAAAGCTGCAATGCAGACTCATCTCCGCGTGCGAGTAGGACGCAATTGGTGGTGTTGTGCTGCCGCATGACATAGCCATTGGCGGCGTCCCTGGCCCGATCAGCTGCATCATCTGCATTGGATGTGGCCTTGGCGCATGGGTTCCACCCTCCAAAGAGCGTTTGCAGCGGATAACTGTAAGCAGTAAGGCAGCGGGCCGCGCACCCACAAGACATACATATGGGAGTAAAGACTTTTACAGCCTCCCATTCGTGTAAGAAAGGGCTGTGGGAGAAATGGATGTATTCTAGGGTAGTGGTTCAGGGTTCTGCGCTGGTACCCGCCGCAGCGGTTTGGTGTAATCTTCCCTGGCGCCCCTCTCAGCAATGCCCACGACGCCATGCGCAGCGCTTCATTTGGCATCCTTTACTTTTCAGGCTCGACATTTCCGCGTGCGCTTGCCTGAGTCGAGCGTGGGTCATCTTGGCCCGATGTCGCTGGCCTGTCGTTCTTTGATTTGATTCGGTCCTTCCCGCCGTCCGTGCTGCACTCCCAAGGTTGTGCCGGATCGACTTGTCGGTAGACGAGGCTGCCACTCGCGTCTATTCGACATGGCCTCGCGCCCTCCTTCCCTTATCACGAGCCAACCCGAAGTGATCAGCGTCCGAAGCTGTGTGTGTGGCCTCTCACGCGCTACCACATCATCGCTGGCATGTGAAAGCCGACGACATCATACTTGAATGTTTCGTCCTCTGCCCCCCATGTGCGACTCTGATTGTGACATATTTAGTGCATCTGTCATGCTCCGTCTCGAACCCACGGAAGCTAGCGAAATCCTTCTCCAGTTTAATCGCGCCGCTAGTCTTTTCACGCGCCTAGTCTATTCAGGCCCCGGAAATCGAGTCCTGGAAGGCGGTGAACTCCCAACCCTTTTCGTAGAGGTGCCCACGCGCTCGGCTCAAACTCGTCAAGAGATCGTGCATGCCGTGCGTCTCGCTGCATGCTGGCAGGGTCTGGGCCAACCAACGGCCAAGATCGACATTTGGGACGTTTTGATCTCTTCTTTATATACTAGGCTCTAGTTTCCCTCCTACTGACCGCGGTTGATTCAATAGTCCTCCAGGCGGGTCCCGCGGTTCGTCACTTGACTGACCCAACAATTACTGGCGTCACATAGCCCGCCTGTGATTCCAGATTTCATTCTCTTATACCGCTTGTGTGTGCCGTTCGCGCGAGGAATCCAAATCTGTGTGTTTCGGTGTTGGCACTGGCTGCTGGTATGGGCTTTTACCCCTTGAGCACAGAACCTTCCTATTCCGATACTGATATCCGACCTAGACGAGTACCGAAATTATTCACCACTAAGACAATATTACCGATTCAATATCCTTTGACACACCTCACATCTACGTCACTCCCCGTTCTCGATCTTTGATAGATCGGCGATGAATCGAATTGATAGTGTTGCGGGTTCCTATCTCCCTAAGATACCCAGCCAAGAACCACTGTGCAACAACAATACCATCCGGCATAGCAAACATCGCAGAAATAAAGTCGAATCGATCGCTCCTCTCCAGGTTGCAGACATGGAGCCACGACGACCAGTATCAGAGCAGCGCTCACGACCATTACGACAACAGTCCACCACATCATCAGAAAACTCAAACAGCAGATCAAAGAGCCGTGGCCATGGCTCAAAGCCCTCATCGCGACGCACTTCCTGTACTATCGTGGACCCATCAAGACCTGCGCGCCACTACCGAGTGAAGAGTTTCCAAACACCACCCGCCACCACAACCAGCCAAGATGTTGACGATGTTCTTGCGCTGCACTTCCGCAGTTGCAGCATCTTCTCAAACCCATCCTACCAATCAAACTCTGGACTTCCAAGCCCGACGATGTCTCACGGTGACGCATTCGGTTTTCCCAGCGCAGCGACGCGTTTCAGCTCAGACAGTCTACGCGTAGTGGAAGAAACATCCATGCCCCGCCAAAGCGAAGACACAATCGACGCAGAAAAGACCAACACAACCATGCATTGGACATCGCCATGCACGCGAAAACGCGAGTACGAAAGAATCGACAAAGCCAACAGCGGTCTACGAGGTTTCTTCCGCAAAGTAACACCGCGATGTGTCTCAGGCCCGCAAGAGAAGTTCTACGAGAAAGATCAGTCGGATGCTGGATCTGTGCGACGCTATCGCATGGACGATTTGGATGACGCGCATATGAATGAGAAGGACAGTGCGCGGCCGCGGACGAGTCCTACACCCAGGCCGAATTCAAGACCTGGCGTGAAGAAGCGGTGGACGTGCTTCTAGATGTGAAGAGCAGAGAAAGAGAGAGAGAACAAGAGTGACATTACGCAGCAACGAGTTTGGCATATTTTCGCGCAGCATTGAGAACAGGCGTTTGCTATATCACGATACCCACGGCATGTTTATTTTTGCGAGCTTGTTGCTTTTGAATCAGAGAGAACGCATTATACCAATACGTCCATAGAGTAGAATTTTGTCGTAATTTATAGTTTTGCATTGATCTCATGGTATTTTTGCTGGTGTAGTGAATGAACATGCAACAGGCGGTGAGCATTGCGTCATGGCATCGCATTTCTTCATGAATTGGGTATTCCATGCGCGATATACAAGGCGACGTGCAACGCAAGTGAATTGAATGGTGATCATTGGTATAATTAAATGTGTATCTATAACTTGGACTCCTCCTTGACTGTGCCAATCTTGAGCTTAGGTGCGTACTTCTTCAATACGCTCTCGTTGTGGTACTGTGTCTTGGTCAGCAAATCCAAACTTCATGTGCGATAAGGCGCTTTCGATGATCAAATCAAGGGTCCAGTCTGCCATGATTCCGCTGGTACCGAGCACCGAGTACCATCAGCGCGGTGGTACCAAGACCAAGCGCGCAACAGCAAATCCGGCCCTGGAAAACCGCGCGTAGCAAATTGTCCCAGGCATTCCTGTCCTCTCGCCTCTTCCGTGTGGTGGCTATAACGTACCTTCCAGAACTGCTTGCTAGCATCCTTTCCACCGACTCTCTTCAGGATCTTAGCGCCACCGGGGTGCTCGTCCACAAACGAGTCCATCTTGTATACATCATTGTCGACTATTATGTACAGTCCCTTCTCGACTGTGTTGTGCTCGGCGACTTGCTTGGTGGTGAGAGACTCGGACATGGTGGGCTTATGAACGCGTTTCGGCAGCGGCGGCGCGACGGCAACGGAGGAGAGGTACTTCGGCGTTTGAAATACGAGAGGGAGGTTGCGACGGTCGCGCTTAGTTTTGGGCTTTTGGAGGGATTTGTCGGTGAGGGAGCAGGTGAGTATGGCTATGGTGATGCGATAGAAGTGATCACGGGCGGAGTCTGGGGTTGATCTAGTAGTAGCTCGGGTTGCGGCTCGGTCGTGGAATGCTATAATGTGGAGGTATGCCGAGGTTGATGAATCGCGCTAAAGCTGCGCGTGGTAAGCTGGGTTGCGGAGATCGTGATTGGTGCTGACACGTCATTCCTCCCTCCCTTATCGACCATCAATCTTCCAAGGCCGTTGTTCCTTCCCCAGGCCTGGAAATCACCTGGGTAGACATCGCGGCGGCGGTGAGTTTCGCAGGTCGTACCCATGGATTTTGCGAACTCTATTGCCACATGCTGCACCGACCGTCGAAGCGACGAGTGCCGCAGGCTGGATGAATGGACGTCATGTTCCAAAGAAGGTTCTATTGCGCTTCGTCTCAAGGCGCAGTTGCCTTCTCTCCAACCTTGGTACTGATCAGGCAAATACCAGTGGACTTGTATACTCGACACATTTCATTCGGTCTCTATGCTTGGTCGCTTAGTCCACCACTACCATAACATGCGATTAACGGGTTACAGCGAATCATCGCGTATGAAGAGGAAATCCAGCAGATCTTCCTTCCTCTCACTTGCTTAGATGCAAAATGGCTGCGAAGTGGAGATGGCGTCCGAAGCAAGGACTTTTCACGAGCTCCTGCCTCTCTAAAGCTACTGCCACAATTCATTTCACTTCACCTACCACCTACCTCCCCAACTAGCTTGTGTGTCTCCCCAAGCACGCGAAAAATCGACTGCAGTATCCCTTAAGAACTGTATTCTTCGGTTACACGACAAGATGTCAGCGAAGCATACTGAAACCCCTGTGCGCAACACAGAGGTAGAATCACACCTTATTCGACTACCCGGCGAGCTTCGCAACAAGATCTTCGAATACGCACTCACCATCGATGAGGGAATCTTCTATCGCGAGGACAAACTGGGTGTGGGTTGGTTATGTCTCCATCCTCGAACATTTGAAGAAGACGTAGAAAGATTTAGCGAAACCCCCGCACCAGTAGGTCGTGTTCAAGAGTCGGATGATGACGCTCCCATGAGGAAGCGACGAAAAATCTCAGAGACGAATCTGAGTACCAACAAGCCAGTGTCAGACACCAAGAAGACGATACACCAAGGACCGGTCAGAGTGAATGGACATGTGGTCGCCAACCAGCTCCAGTTTGTCAACAAAAAGCTTCGAAACGAGACCAAAGCGTTGGTCATTCGCCACAACGATATACACATCCGGGGTCCGCCGAACAACCTCACCAGATTCTACAACAGCGTCGTGGGAAAGAGAAGACTATGGATCCAAAAGATCCACCAGCAAGTCACAGATTACCGCTTTGAGGATCTATATGGTCTCCAAATCGACGCAGAAATGCATCCCCGCTTTCTGATAGAGTGTCATAGCAGGGGCACTGGAGGCTGGGCGGAATTTTATTCTCTCGCTACTCGTGCAGCAAGTGGGACGCCGAACATTGTCTTCAGTTGGTAGTACCAAGAGCGCTTTTGTACGAGCAGAATGCCATGATCATCAGAATGGACCCGCTACTAGTAAATTTCAAGGTGTTTTCCAGAGATAGAGGCTTGGACAAGGCTGTAGCTTGACTTTCCTGCGAAGAAGATGGCATTGGGCGGAAGTGGTCGATCTCGTCGTTGCGATGAGTATACAAAGGCGGAAGGAGGAATTGACAGCGTAGTTTTTAATGTTCTGGATCTAATAGCTCCCGGACTAAGATGATATGATTCCAGCTCTACAATGCTACGTTCCAAGTGCAAACTGCGACAATATATACATGTGTTCCGAATCTACAGTCACGAAGTCAAATGCGTTCATGCTGCGGGGCTAGCAACGGACGTTGTGAGCGGGCCGCTCTCAATGTAAGTCCCAGAGAAGAACCAATCTTCGGCGCCCGTTCCATCGTTACCCTGGCGGGGCAGACGAAGGACACCAAGATGCCAGTCGGCGCCGTTGGAAGAAGTGCTGGTGGAGAAAGGCCCGGCAGTCTTGGTGAGCGTGCTGTTGCCGGTAGAGTGCCAGAAGGTGACTTGGTTCTAAGGGATGGTATTGAAAGTCAGTATGTGCTCAAGGTCACTTTATAAATGATTGCGACTTACGGAGGAGAAGTTGATCTCGTAAGCTACGTTGTGCCACTCGTCCGCCTTGAGTTCGACCTTCCACTTGCTCTGGCCGCCCACCATCCATTGCCTGCGTTTGGGTTAGCATCATCCCCGAATTGAGTTCATATATTTGGGTCAGCTCACAAGTTGGTGTTGCTAGTGCCAGACTCTCCGTTGACCCATCCGTACTTCAGTTCTGTGAAATGGCTCTCGAAAAAACAGATCTGGTGTTCATTCGTCGCACTTGGAACGTTGGTAGTAGACCTCTTGATCGAGAAATGGTAGTATACCGTGCCCTGGTTGATAGCAGCCTTCGTCTGGGGAATGAGCTCAGTCCTCCACATGTCGCTGTTCCACTTAGCCGTGTTATCGATCGTGATCTTTGCACCTTGCTTGCTGCCAGTGTCGCCAGAGTTCTTGTAGTTCGGTGACAGGTTTACGTATTTGGTGGTGGCGCCTGAGCCGTGGATATAGTACTGGTAGTCTGGCAGAGAGAGGCGAACGTCAGCTGTGTTCGCTGTGTAGCTTGACTGCAGCACTTACTGCCCACTTGATTTGCCCATGACCATTTGTCCAGATCGGAGGAAGTGGTCATGTCGTTGAAGCGACCATCCCACAGGATCGTGCCTATCTCTCGTCAATGGAATGTAACATGCAAGGTGAGGGTCAGCAAACCTGCCGACACGGCGCTCACGAGCGCGTTGATGATAGCTGCCTTTCCGAACATGTTGACGATTGAAACTCAAAAGGTCCCTGTTTTGAGAGACTGTAATAATTGGCAGTTGAAATGCCAGCATTCGAGGTCTTCACGATGCTATATAAAGACCGCCTCAAGCTAATGCTTAAAGTATCTCGACCCGAATCTGGAGGCGAGGCGTCCATTTCGTGCTTAGAGCGCTGCACATCAATATCGGGGAAAAGGCACATGTCCGGCATTCTACATTGAGTATGTACTCAATGTGCGCTGCGTGACCACTGTTCTCAATCAATCTATATGTTTTCGCCGCCTTTTCACATATAGTTGTGGACCTAGTAACGGCCAAACGGTCCGGGACACATTGCGCCTTGTCTCAGCCAGACGCGGAAATGGCGACCCGGTTTTCGTCACCGCGTCCGCGGCACATGGTTCGATGCCGGCGAGTTAAGTCCATACAGGTACGAGATGATGGCGGGCTTGTTAATGGAGGAAGGCCGATCTGGCAGGGTGTCGAGATTAAGCTACATTAAGCCGAGGCCTACCCCACAACTAGTGCGAGCTAGAAAGCTTCGAATGGCGAGTCTGTCAGCAATTTCGCATGGTGACATGAACTCAAGGTCTGTCGCTACGTGCAACTGTTTCTTGAGATATGTGAATGGATGCCTTTGGCATGACATTGGTTGCGGCGCGGGCGCACTTGCCGTGCCGCATCTTCCGAGATCTACCAAGGGGACCGAGAAGAAGAACGCCAACGCCTCGATGCCTATCGCCGCAAGAAGTCTCGCAAGAAGAGGCTGTCAACCACACCGAAATAGCTTTCCAGTCTTTCGGATCTCTCACCCATATTCAGTTCCAAGGCTTTCCTACTAGTAGCTAGTGAGTAACATATGACGACTGGTCCGGATGACCTAGCAGCTGTAGACGTCGCATGGAGTGATTCAATCTAGTACCAGACTTCAACCAAGTTGAGAGGCTCGAGAAAGTACTGCGCGGCGATAGCTGCAAGAAGAACCGCAGCAGCTGCGATCCAGGTGTAAGCGGAGATGCGGCTTCCCGCTTGGGGAGAGGACGCTAAGGAAGTGGCGTGGTCTTTTCGAAGTTGATTTTCCGAGCTGCGCCTATGAGGGCTGGATGGAACGCGAGTCATGTCACCAGCCTTAGGCACTTCGATTCATCGCTGGAGAATCAACGAGACTTTACCTGGCGTTTGAAAAGCATTTCAGAGTTGTTTGCAGCGCGAAGGGCTCCCTTTCATAACACCGCGGTTGGTACTAGCCGCTCAGGGATTAGTGTCTGTTAGTCTCATGCCGTCGTGCACACGGTGGCCTCTTACACCCCACATGGACTGAGGCACAGCAAAGACTGCGCTACGATGGATGTCGTTCCCAATCGCGCCATGAGCTTCCGCCCTCGCTGTCTCATATTAACTGCTGATCATGAATGTCGAAAGATGCATCGCGCTACACAACGAAATACTGCGCCACGGTTGGGTCAGCTCAGGTCGCAGTCCAGAGTCTCTCGAAGCCACCTGCAAGACATGGTTCGACACTTTTGGCGATGATGCCGAGGCTGTTCGTCCCCAGCTTTCGCCTGATCTTGTTCGTTTTCTCCAAGAAGCTCGACTTATTGGTTATTCTGAAAGTGTAGTCGATCTATCCTTCTTCTACTGGCTACAAAATCTCGCTTCGCCAAACTTCATGTTTGAGCAAGCGGAAGATTGGTCAGACGATGGAGAAGATGGCAATCTTTTGGTTCTCTACGAGATGAACAACTTCTCGGGTCACTGGTGCGGACTGGTGTAAGTTGAATCAGACAGCCGCATACTGTCTTGGTCCGGAATGTACTAATCTTGTCGTACAGATATGATCAAGAAGCGAACCTCTGTATCTTGAGCCCAAGCATCCATGACGCAGATGAGGTCTTTGAACAGAAAGTGTGGTACCCATTGGAAACCGCTCTGGAGTTCTGGCTGGGCCAGATTCGGAAAGGGAAGATCGTTGCTGCGCCCAAAGCTATACACGAAAAATCTGGCAATGAGCGCTACGACCCTTGGGAGTTTATCCCGTACAGCAAATCCATGCTGGAAGAGAATGTGGAGGCTTTCAATCGTCTAGTAGAAACTATCGAAACTCGGATGCCTTCCACAGCCGAGCACGCAGAAGCTGAACAAGTTGTACATGGGCTGGTCGAAGAGAGCATACTTCAAAGCATGAGTCTTCCCCACAACTTCACCTACGATTTCCTCCGACAGGCACGACGCCCACGCTTCCGAAACATAGCCCCAGGTCTCGAAGTAACTACCTCCATATTCTCCGATCAGCCATTCGGTTCTTATCTCTCGTCTACCTCCGACCGGCCTCCTATCCTTCTATTTCGCTTCAATCCCAACACTGTCACTGGCGAAGAAATAGACAATCCATTCCCTGGATTCGACCGTATTAAAACTCATACTGCGGGTCTATACCTTCTCCCACATTGGGAGACGACAGCCGAGGACGAATGTAGGTTGATTTTACCTTTTGGTATTGGAGCAAATGGGTATGCAAGGAGGACTGATGGCAGCAAGTTCGGGGGAAAAGAGGATGGTGAAGACAGCCATGTAGATATGTATCGTCCTGGATATCAGCCGCTTGAGGAGCCGCATGATCATAGTCTTGTCGATGTGTTGAAGAGCTGGACGGGTATGGTGGAGAGAGGCGATTGGCAAATTGATGAGAATGGAGTTGCAGGTGGAATGGATGTATGGAGAGAGGCTGATAGCAAGGAGAAATGGGCCGGGTATGTGATTCCGAGGGCTGTACAGGGGGTAGAGAGGTAGATAGCTGTACAGGGGGTAGAGAAGTAGATAGCTATGGTGAAGTATGAGAGCTTTCAGAGGTAGAGCAACTAAAGCAACACGAAGCTACAATCGCGCCCCGGAACTTTTCACCCTTCAAGCCTCAAGTAATAAACGCCTACGAGATAGCAGGCTGTAGAGGAAAACGGAGGTTTAGACTATTCGGAAAAGCCTCATTGGTTACCTATTTCTACTGGAAAAGGCTCTCGAGGTGGCGTCGCACCATTCTCGATTCTTTGTCTTCGTTCTCTACTCGATATCCCGGACCTTCCCGGCAACCAGGATTCCACCATGCATCTTCCCAGAGATCTATAGCATGCTGCCAAATGATCTTGAGGCGCTGTCCCTGAGACGATGCGCTCTTGCTAAAGTCATCCAAATAGCCCCTGTCGAACTTAACCTGAGATGCCTTACAAACTCTCGGACCTCGCAAGATCTCGGTGTCTTGTCCATCTTGTGCAGGCTTCGGACGCCCAAGCTTAATCTTGAAGCTGTTGTACTTGAAGTCCAAGCCCGCAGTCTCCGAGTAAAGTTGCCTGTTCGCATACTTGAGCATGTTGAACTCAACGTAGCGCTTGACAGGAGACGGTGTTTCGAGTGCACCGAGATTTTCCGAGTGCCGCACAACCTGCCGGGGTGCTTCCGGCGAGTGAAGATAGAGCGGAGTTGGTGAAGAGAGCGCGAGCTCGTATGTTTCTGGAACATCATAGTTAGCGCATGACCAGTGCATCGATCATCGTCGAAGTGGCAATGATAAATGACTCCAGAGCTCTGACTTACTGTTTCGTAATTCACCGGGGAGTTTGAGCAGGGGCGATTCCGTGGACATGTTGTTAAGTTCGTCTGCTTGTCTGCTTGTACCGTACTTCTGCTGGGTAAACTAGAGTAACGTCTTCGAGTCGAAATTAAGTACCAGACGCAGACTTCTGTAAAACATGGGTGGGTTTAGATTCTGCTCGGAGAGGAGAGGAGCACTCGGGGGGTGGGAGTAGGATGCTTTAAAGGGACGAGCCACTAGGTACTCCAGGTGAAAAAGGTCACTGCATTCAACTCATTCGCGATACGATCGAGTGAGTACTCTCTCGTAAATTGAAACGCTCTGGATCGCGCTTTGCCTCTGTTGAAGTGGTTAGCCTCACGTTGACAACACTGTTGGGCCGGATCGTATCGATCGCGAGTTTCACTCACGAGCGTTCACTATTTGTAACCCTCTACTACATATACAAGGGCTTCCTCCCTTCTACATAACAACCACATCACAACTCTTCTTGATCTACAAATACTCACGAATCCACCAATCACTCAACCCCTACCAACGTAATCTGCTCCCCAAATCTTCTACCAACGCGGAAAGCATGCCAGTTAGGTCGAACATGTTTTCAGATTTCATCTGGTCGTTTATGTCGAAACCGGAAGCTGTAAAACCAGCGACCAAGAGCCGCTTCTTCCTTCTTCCTCCCGAGCTCCGGAACGTTATCTACGAATACGTCCTAACCACACCAGACGCAACGCTAAAGTACACGACAAACGACACCTCCGGCCACAAACAGCTCAATCAGCTACAGTATGTCAACAAACAGCTACACCAGGAGTGCGCACACCTTGAGTTGAAGTTCAATACTACCATCACGATCTCTACCCGGGCCGAAGGCAAGACCACTGCCACCGAACAATTCTTTGCGCTTCTCGCATCTCTTCCAGAAGAGAAACACAAATGGCTCCGAAATGTGGCTCTGCAAAATACCGACGCTGATGTGAACGAGTACTTGACGCAAAGGAATAATCCAGGCAAAAAGGTCCTCAAACAGATCGACAACCAAGCCAACATGTGTCGACTAGCGAAACTGTGCAGACAGATGCCATATATTACCGTGGAACACAAATGGTCAATGTTCAGCGCCAAAGTGCTGAAGACAGCCTCTAATGGACCTGTCGATCCTCTCATGGTAATCGCACTTGGGGTTGCCTTATCAGAGCATCTCTTAGGTGACTCAAGGACCGAACTCTGGCCTATGGAACCGAACACCAGACCAGTCATAGAAAAAGGGTTGGAGATCGTGAGAGGGTGGAACAAATTTGATATAAAGGGCGGGACGTCGCAACCATTACATGAGAGTTTACGGGCGGATAATTTGCACTTCTTCCCCATGGAAGATATCCTAGAATCGGAGGAAGTCTCCGTACGCACAGGAACTCACTTCAACGATAAAGGGGAGGATCTTGCGCCGATATGGAGAGCGGCGATAAGGAAGTGGGTAGCGGAGGGACTATAAGGGAACTTTTCATCAGATCATGTCTACTCTAAACAACCCGCGAGAAGATGCGGATCGATGAGCAATTATAAGCATTCATGTACCTCGTTCATGTAATTCGCATCGGTGATGCCGTCCTTTGCAGGTGACCAATGTAAACTCGCGATGAGTGTGTCTTCATAGCTGTTGATGTAGCCTCCACAGGGTCTTGTTTTGTAGTAATATTTGACTTATTCGCATGCGTAGAAGGTTAGGCGACTTGTATATGATTCGTCGTTCACAATTCTTCTTTGTTTCATCGGCACCTGTGATGTTTGTCGTGTGAAAGCGAATGAAAGAGGTGAACGAGATGAAAGCAGCCGCGGCCAGCGCACGGGCCCGCAGTTGCCTCGGTGACATCACAAACAAGCTGCGCAGACTTTCCCAAGTCTGCCTATCGCCCATCACAGCGACCACACGAGCCAACCCACGCCTGTCTCACGTCCGCCCTACAACTGTCTCAGTCGCCGGCCCCGCTCAACCGTAAACTTAATTCGGCGACAAAAAAGGACCCCACCACATCGACATGGCTGACGCGCGCGGAGAGTACTGGTACTATGAAGATGGCGTCGACCCCAGCAAGATAACAGTCCCGGAGCTGAGGAGCATCTTGCTGAGACATGGCGTCACATATCCGTCCTCGGCAAAGAAGCCTGCTCTGGTTGGCATGTTCGTCGACCTGGTCCTCCCTCAGAAGTCCAAAGTCCAGCGGATGCAGGCACACACGAAGCGATCGACGCGGGGCATCGTAGACGTCCCCTCCAGTTCAGCCAGTACGGTCGAGACAGACGACGCCGAGGACGAAACACTCATAGCACCTACGCCTGCGAAGACACGACGCACAACCCGCCGAACCACCCGCGAGCCAACAGAGGAGGCAGAGGTGCCGGCACCACGCGCCAAGACACCCGCGCGCGCTGTCCCTGCCAAACACAGCAGAGCGTTTGAGCCCGAGGTGGATGAGAGGCCTGCAGCTAGGCGTACACGCAAGAGTGTCACTCCTGCACCCAAAGAGCCCACGCCTGAGCCTGAAGCATGGCATCGCAACGACGCTGCCAGCCCCTTCACCCAGGAAAACCCGTTCCAAAGCGGAAGCTCTCCTGCAGTACCAGATACCATATCGCGCGACCGGCGTAGGAGAACTACTGGATTTGGTCAGCAGGAGCGGCGCAAGAGCGATGCGCACCGCCGGAGGACCGTCCAACCCAAGGCTGAACAACTAGACGAGGGCATCATGGTACCTACACGTGGAACGTTTGATGTGGCGGACCCACGTACACAGCATCAGGAAGACGATCTTGCAGATGCCGGCGAGGAGTTCACTCCAGAGGAGCAACTTGAACTAGTGCGCGAGCGTGCAAAGGCTGGCGAAGTCGACATTCTGCCTCCACGCAGACGGAGGCAAAAGGGCAAAGCCACTGGTACGATCAAAGCAATGGCCGGAACTCTACTCCTCACAGCATCAGCCGCTTTCGCTGGCGTCTGGCGACAGGAAAAGATCGATGTTGGCTTTTGTGGCATCGGACGAGATGCTACTGGACTTGGTGGTATGGAGCTACCGAGCTGGGCAGACCAGCTCCTCCCGCAGTGTGAGCCCTGCCCACCACACGCGCAGTGTTTCCGCGGGTTGACTCTGAGGTGCGATCCCGATTTCATTATGAAGGACCATCCGCTGTCACTCGGTGGCCTGGTTCCTCTCCCTCCGACGTGTGAGCCAGACAGCGAGAAGACGCGGAAGGTGAATGGTATCGCGAACAAGGCAGTGGAGATTCTGCGACAGCGCAAGGCCCAGTATGAGTGTGGGGAACCAGATGCGGCAGGGAATCCAGTGGAAAGCCCTGAAGTTAGCGAAGGAGATCTGAAGCAGCAGATGGCTTCTCAAAAGAGCAAGAGCTTGACAGACCAGGAGTTCAGTGAGCTGTTCGACAGAGCCTTTCCTGAATTGACTATGCGAGAGGAGATAGTCGAAAGCACCGATGGGTAAGTACTTCCTTTCCAGTTCTCCAACCACTTGTGCAACATATCTGACGTGGAATTGTACTAATCAGTTACTCTTCCTTGGAAACAGAACAACAGGCGGACGACGTCTCGCATCCACCTCCCTCGCCAAGCTCTCCCTCTCCTGCAGCGTCCGAAGATCCCTCCGAGAATCTTTTGAACGACATCTTCTCCAAATTGTAACGATGCTCATTCTGATTGCCACTGGATCGTACGGAAAGTACGCATACACCAGTAACCGAGCAATGGAAGTTCGCGCGAAGCAACTCGCAAGCGACGCATACGATAGACTCCAGGACCAGGCCGCGTTGAGCTACTATGACCCTGGCGCGGAGAAGGGTATCAGTATGACACAACTGCGAGATGACGTCTTGAGGACTGAGTTCAACGCATCTCGCCGACAGAAGCTATGGACAAGGGTGCAGGCGAAGGTCGAAAAGAACAGCAACATCCGTGCAGGTGTCCGAGCCACAGCGAGTGGTGACGTTGCTCGCATGTGGGAATGGGTCGGCCCTGTGAAGCGCATCGACGACGGACGGAGCCCTGAGAAGCGCGAGAGTGGCAGGTTCAGTCTCGGCATGGGTAGCAGCCCACTGTCCGCATCCAAGGATACGAAGGAGGTCCAGAAGTGGGAGGAGGGACATCCGATTTACTAGTCGTTACGCTCGCAGCTTTCATTTGTTTCCCATCGCGGGTTTATGGGTCAAGGATGATATATGATTAGGGATCTGCACTTTATTTGGCACGCATGATACCACAATTCAATTCTTACTTCGACTGCACTTCATCGTTTCAACACACTCAATGACTAGTGAATATGTTTGGGGATGGTCTGGTGCGTGCCCTCGACATCTTGGCTGTGGCTGGTGAGTGGCGCGGATGTCGGCTTACTAACCTAGCCGAAGCCCACACAACGCTAGCAATATCGGCCCAGCGCGACCACAACACCTCCAGCAACACCGCCAACTTTTCGCTCATACTAACCACAGAGCAAAATCCGTCAAAATGGTGAGTGACATTCTTGTTGCCAGAGACATTGCGAAGGACCACGACCGGTGCGACGAGCGAACGAATCCACGAATCTTCGATGACGATGGCGAGGCGAATTCTCCGACCCCGCGACATTCGACACGATGATACCCCATTAGAAGACCGAGATGTGGCGGAAGACACTTGATGCTGAGAGGGGTGGGATTGTACAACGTCTCTTACAGAGGGCTGCTGGTGCGAAGGGACATGTGAGGACCTTGGCGTTGAAGAGGCGGCGACTCAACACGTACTCCATCACGGGCCCTTGGTATCGCGCCGCATCTGAACCCAGCTGTCGGGCGCAGTGTAGATGCTGGCATTTGATGGTGGCAACATCTCACCAGGATGATCTCAATCGCGACCTCCGCATCACCGCACATCCCTCGCCATCGCTTACGTCGGTCGCTCGCTTCGCATTCGTCGCCAGTACAGGAAATTGGGAATTTCAAAAGCATTGAGCCTGAATGCTGACTGTGACTTCCCAGGTCAACGTTCCCAAGACCCGCCGAACCTACTGCAAGGGCAAGAAGTGCATGAAGCACACCCAGCACAAGGTCACCCGTTAGTGATCCGCGTCCACACACTCGCATACCCGTATACTGAGACTGTGTAGAATACAAGGCAGGAAAGGCCTCTCTGTTCGCGCAGGGTAAGCGTCGTTATGACCGCAAGCAATCCGGTTACGGAGGTCAGACCAAGCCCGTCTTCCACAAGGTACGATCGCACGCATTCGAGCTCAAAAGATGAGTACTAACACCATGCAGAAAGCGAAGACCACCAAGAAGGTCGTTCTCCGTCTAGAGTGCACACAGTGCAAGACCAAGGCACAGGTAGGCTCCGCTCACATTCTTCCACCTCGCAATCGCTAACATACTCGTAGCTCGCCCTCAAGCGATGCAAGCACTTCGAGCTCGGTGGTGACAAGAAGACCAAGGGTGCCGCTCTCGTCTTCTAAGCGTGTACCTTCTTTCTCTCTCTTTTGCTGGGCTCTCGGCGTAGTCTTCGGGCGGATGGAATGGACGGCTCTACCTTCGACTCAAGCAATGCATCAATCATCAGTGCGATAGGAATGAAGGCGTGTGAGGCGGAAGATCTGGCGACAAAAGGTCACCAGCCACGAATTTACGGACTGTAACCTACATATGCATCAAATGGAGCTCGATTGAAGGGACCGCAAAACATTCCCACTTAACGCAGGTAGTGACAGCGTGATCGGTGCCAAGTGATGGCTTCTGGATGCAGCAGGTACAGCCGCGCGGATCGTTACTGACGGAGTCATTTCTAAGTAGTGGCTACCCCTCCACCCCACTAACGCGTCGCGCCCTATCTTGTCGATTGGCTTTGACGCTACTTCTCATGTGAGTCTCCATCATTCTTTGGATTGCCCTCACACAATGGCTGATACTAAGAAAAGTGTCCTCATTATTGGCGGCGGCGCAGTCGGTGCCATTGCAGCCGTCAACCTCGAAGTCGGCGGTCTCGCAACGGTGACCGTGGTGCTGCGATCCAACTACAACGTCGTCAAAGACCAAGGATACACAATCGAGAGCTGCGATCATGGAAAATTGGACGAATGGAGACCTAGCGTTGGTACGTTGTAAACCTTATGAGCGATCCACCTGCCGATCCGCACCCAAAAAGCTAACACACCCAAGTCCGCAACACCATCCCCAACCTTACCGAAGAAGACCTCCCACCATACGACTACGTCGTACTCTGCACCAAAAACATCCCCGACGTCTCCCCCACCGCCGTCGACCTAATCACGCCGGCCCTGCCCAAGAACAGCAACAAAACCACTCTAATCCTCCTGCAAAATGGCCTCAACATCGAAAAGCCATTCTTGCGCCCGCATCCCAACATCCCCATTCTCTCCGCTATCTCCATGATCGGCAGCGCGGAACCCTCACCGGGCCACATCGTCCAAGACGAAGGCGACAGGCTTCTCATCGGCGCGTTTCCCACTTCGAACATCAACCCTGCTGTACCGGAACGTCGGGCGGAGGAGTTCGTGGAGTTGTATGGGAAAGGAGGGAAGACGAATTGTCAGTACTCGCCTAATGTTTTGCATGATAGGTGGAAGAAGCTGGTGTTCAATGCTTGTCTGAACCCCATCTGCGCGATTACGGGACTGGATGATGGGCGGCTAAGACTTGCTGATGGGGCGTTGGATGGCCTTGTTAGACCGGCTATGCGCGAGATTGTTGCGGCTGCGAAGGCGGTTTGTGGTGTTGAGTTGGCGGAGGATGTGGTTGAGGCGACCATTCATCTTGATCCGTTGGAGAGCTATTTGAAGCCGAGTATGCAGCAGGATGTGGAGAAGGTGAGTCTAGTTCCTGACTCCGGTGGTTCACGTGGGAAGAACGAGGTGCTAACGTTGATAGGGCAACTTTATCGAGTTTGAGAATCTGCTGGGCGAGCCGTTGAGAGCGGGAAAAGATGCTGGTGTTGCTATGCCGACGTTGGAGGTGCTATATCAGCTTGCGAGGGCGATTCAATGGCGGATGAAAGAGACTAGAGGACTTGTCGAGGTGCCGAAGAAGAAGTAGCGCGGTTAAGCTGGAATGGCAGCTCTTGGTGTTGTTCATGGTGTTATCAGCTCCACATGTACTATCAAGTACGGATTGGTAGAGTACTAGAGATTATGACACGAACTTGGAATGACCATCGAAGATGTGTAGTATTTCTTCGAAGCTTTTCAGCCTGTTGCTAGCATGCTGTCTAAGACAAAGAGAAAGCTCCAATCAACCTCACCTGAACGACCACCAGTACCGTGACCGTTTCTTGATGCGGACCCTGCTGGAAAGGTGCCTCGCGATGGTAGAGGTACGGCTTGTCTTCACCATCCTTAGGCATGCGGTAATGCAGCGGCTCTGAGTGGGTGAGAGCAAGTTGGTAGATCGTGTTGCGGAGCTCGGCCGGTAAGTCCAGAAGAAGCGAGGTGTTGGCCATCGTGGTGCGATAGTGGTTGAGACTTGTTTTCGGGAGATGAGGAAATTCAGTCGGGTTGGGGCTGTAATTGACACAAGAAATTGTGCTTGAGACCCTCGGTTGACTAGTGGCCGGTTGTCGTTCCAAGGTTCGCTCTGCGCCGCCTAAACTGGAAGGGGGTGCTTCCCTCCACCTACACTCCAGCAATACAGCAATACAGCTCGTCTCTCACCCAACAGGCCCGCACTCTTCGGGTGAATGCGTCATTACCTCCATGGTTCCCTACACGCCATTCACTTCTTGCACGCACTGGGGCTGACTTGGACTACATCTCCTTCACCTTGGGTTCAGTCCCGAAACTAAATCGTGTCATCTACTCGACCAAACTATGACCAACATACCGGCTTGTAACGCAGAGCTCATGTATGGGTACGTCGGTGTCGTGATCAGCAAGCTAACTTCTGTAACATCACGTGCAAACTCAAAACCCAACTACACCTGGGCAGGGCTGCGTAAAGCGTGTCGTACGATTCCAAGATACGTAAAAATGGTTAGAGTCCACAGCAGGTTTAGGGCTGAGTTGGTGTTGCAACATTTCGGCGAAATTCTTCAGCAGCCGATGGGGTGGAAAGATGGATATTGACGAGACGAGGCATTTCCACTCATCTCGATCAGGATGGGTTCGGCATGGCTATTCGATCGGAGAAGGCGACGCTGGTGGAAGCGTGACCATCCGAAGCAAGGCCGGAGGAGTTGGCGATTGGACAGTCATGGGTTCGCGTCGTGGGAGTGGAGGGGAGTTCCTGAAAGCAGAGCGGGCCATGGCCCTGCCGCTGCAAGGGCATGAAGATCTTTTATCGTAAAACCGGTAGAGGCGGAAGATCTTGGGCGCTGACAACGTCGCCATAGCAGGGTAAACCAGGTTTTAGTGGGCTGAGGAGCGGAACCGAGGTGGCGGTGCAGTTCGGCTCATGTCATGCTTGGCGAATGACGAGTGACGACGCTGTGAACCAACTGGGCTGCTGGCCACGACTGGCAAGAGTCAAGAATCTTCTTAACCTTCGCACGTGAACCACGCTACCCATCACCTGTCGCTCCTGTGACTCTGCCCTACGCCTCGCGCACCTCACCTGGCCACCGACCCAACAACAACCATTCTTGAGCGCTTTCGAGCGCGCGCGCCTAGGCTTGGAATCCACTCAGCCACGCTTTGCTGCTTAGTATCACGACCAGATCAGCACTTTTCAGCCGCGAAATCAGCCCACCGACAACAGATAGCTTGATAACCTCAGGCATCAGCGCTTCCCCAAGCCTGACTCTATGCACACAAACGCGCCTCACCAGGCTGAACACCAACAACACCTCGGCACAGCCAGCGCATACCGTATACCGAAAATGGCGCTCAACGGAGTGCGCCGGAAAGACACGACCAAGGGCCCGCCGCTGCGCGTTCTGTCGTTAGGTATGTTGGTGATGTGATGTAAGGCCTCAGTATGGCAGGTGCTAACCCATGTGACAGACGGCGGCGGTGTGCGGGGGTACTCCATGCTCATCATCCTCCAGGAATTGATGCACCGAACTTTTGTCGAAACCGAAGGCAGAGCCCCAAAACGGCACGAAGTACCCAAGCCATGCGAACACTTCGATCTCATTGTCGGCACCGGCACGGGAGGCTTGATCGCTATCATGCTGGGGCGGCTGAGAATGGACGTTGAGACCTGCAAGGACGTCTACGTGCGCATGACGAGGAGAGTCTTCGAGACCGACAAGACATTTGCCGGCATACCGTATCGATCGACGTTGTTCAAGGCGTCGAAGCTGGAGGAGGCCATCATGCAATGCGTGCGCGAACATACAATCTACGACGACGAGGGCAACGACAATCACAACGGGCAGGATGCACCGCCCATGACCCCCGGGAGCGCAATATCGGGCCGCATGCAAAGAAGCGCTAGTAATGCCAGCAACTACAGCCAGATTGGCATGACTCCCGTGAATATGCGCATAGCCGCCATGAAGTGGGGGAACCCTCACGCCCAGCTATACGACAACAGAGAAGAGCGCACTAAGACGTGAGTAGGACGCATTTCGTTGATATGCCAATGCGCTAACTGTCTGCAGTGCCATCACAGCTGTCTACAAGGGCACCAAGAAGTCTGGCAACGGCCAGGTTCTCCTCCGCTCCTACGATTCCCGTAAAGAACCTCCAATCGAACCAAACGCCACGATATGGCAAGCCGGCCGAGCAACTTGCGCGACCGCCCTAGCATTCAAGCCAATCCAGATCGGCCAATCTGTCTTTCTCGATGAAGGCTCCGGCAAATACAACCCAGCGCCTATGGCTCTCGACGAAGCTGTTTGCAACGAATGGCCTGGGCGCGAAGTTGGCGTTTTCATAAGCATAGGCACCGGAAAACGGCCAGAAGGCACAAACGCACAACAGCATCTGTGGTGGGAAGGCTTCGTTTCCGGCGGCATGGGCGACTTTGCAGAGGCGAGACGGAAATTGATCCAGAAGATTGAAGATTGCGAACGGACACACAAGGAGATGAAGGACCACCTTGCGAAAAGACAAGTCAACCCCGAGAACTACTACCGTTTGAACGTCAACGTCGGCGTGGGAGAATTTGGAATGAATGAGTGGAATGCGCTCGCGGAAATCAGCACGAATACACGCATGTACCTGGCGGACAAGGGAGTACAAGGCATGACGCTTGACTCGGCTGCAAAGATCGCAAGGATACACTTCGCAAAGGTGCGATGGGAGCGCGCAGCCAAAGGAGAGTCGCCATTTTCGCCAGGCGCGCAAGCACCGAACAAGCCTCTTCCTACGGTCCCAGACCCAGCACCCATGGCAGTCGAACTACCAGCTGAGGAACTCGCGCCAGAATACTACACAAACATACATCCCGCCTTCCGCCCTCCGCCAGAACCGCGCCGGCCATCAGACAACGACAAGTTCCTAGTTGTGTCATCAGACGAATATCCGCAATCAGCGGCGAGTACAGATGGATTCAGCGACTTCCATCCCCGGCATTCAGGTGAATTAGTGTCGCCAGGACGTCGTTCGGATGAGCAATTCTCAGCGGGGCGTCCAGTATCCTGGATGAGCTCTGCGCCTAGCTGGGATGATCGCATGTCCAACGCTCCACCTAGACCACCTAAGACACCTTTGCAAGATGGACTTCACCCACCGCCTCTATCCGGTGCACGCACATCACCCCCCTCTGGCTCTCACTTCGCAAGACCCCCTCCAGGTGCGCCTCTACCGTACCCGGATACTGACGGCCCGCCACCGATTGTCAACAAGGCGACGAAGCCGGACTATACACGGTAAACGAGTGCGAGGTCGATCTTCTTTTTGCATATATGCTTGAATGGTGTGTGGAGTCTTGCATGGCCTATCTCTACGAAGGGGCGCCCATATCACGATGTTTCACGGCTGATAGTTTGTTGAGAGAATAGTTTAGATACCCATCGAAGTTTTCTTTGTTTCGCTCAATGTCATGAATTTTTTGAAAAGCTGATCGTCTTCCTATGCCGTGTCTCATATTTTTCCAATGATCATGAAGATCGGTGTAGCCCATATGTGCTGACCAGAATACATGCATGACCGAATTGCTTCGCTGCATCAACGTCAAAAGCTATGCATCGTCGTCATGATCTCGAGAACCTCCAGTACACCCTTGTTGAAAGCGAGTCAATCCTCGGCCAGAAGATCCTCCTCCTTGGGCTCGGGCTTGACTGGAGTCAGCTCGTCCTCGTCCTCCTCAACCACAACCTCCTCAGCAACCTTCTTCTTACGTCCGCGCTTCGTAGGTGTAGCTTCTCCCTCGGTACCAGCATCACCCTTGGCCTTACGCTTACGCGGTGTCGGGGTTTTCTTGGGACCAACCACATCGCCCTCGTCGACACCACGAAGAGCAGCGAGGTCGGTCTTGAGGGTGCCCTTGAGGCGGTCGACCATGATGCGACAGGCGCCGACGGACTTGCCATCAGGACGGGGCGCGTTCTGTTCGGCTGTTAGTAAAGAAGATGATAGAGGGAAGAGGAGGGTACGTACGGCGAAGTCAAGCTTGACGTTGGAGAACTCGACGAGATTGAAGTAGTATGCGAGCTATGGTTTGTTAGCAGTGGACAAAACGATGTCTGTGATGTGATGTGGAAGCGGCACTTACACGTTGACGGTCAGTCCAGCCCTTGCCCTTGGCTCCCTCGGTGTCTGACATCGTGAATTAGTGTCTTGTTGTTGTTGTGTGATGTTGTGTATCAATGTAAGGCAGAATGTAACGGCAAAAGGACGGTAGATGTGAAGTTCGTGCTGCGGTGTGCGAGAGTGTAAGAAGCAGGAAGACGGAGAGCATGCAGGATGTTTATATCTGGAGGCGCAATTGTGCTGGTGAGTGCGGTCTTGGCATGTGTTGAAACGAGGTGAAGGTGAGTGCAAAAGTTACGCGTGCATTAATCCAAGTCGGGAGATTGCGACGCTTCAGGGAGTGAGGGATTTAATCGGGGAGAGCATGTCAGCGCGACATATGGTTTTAAACACTGGATTCTTTGTTGAGTGAACTTTCGATGTATGTGCCATATAGAGGCTGACGATGCAGCCAAGCAAGCCCATCGAAATACCCAATGCATGCCGTGAACCTATTCCGAACGCCAGACGTTGATGTGCGTTACAAAACAATCATGTCAAGCGCCCAAATATATGCCTCCAATGACGTCGTAGTACCGCCTTTGACGCTCAGATGTCATCAGCCTCCTTGAGGATGTCGTCGTCATCCTCATCCTTGACCTCGTCCTTGACGCCCTCATCCTCCATTTCTTCCTCAGCCTCAGGAACAGGGACCTTCTTCTTAGGTCGTCCGCGTCCCTTCTTGGGAGTGACCTCGGCGTCGTCACCGTCCTCATCGGCCTTGACCTTGCGCTTACGAGGGGTAGCGGCCTTCTTGGTAGGGGTGCCTTCGGCGGGACCAGCAAGAGCAACTCCGGCCTTGATGGCATCCATCTCGGGCTTGAGAGCGTTCTTGGTCTTCCAGATCTTCTGCTTGCAACCGTTGACGTTGCGGCCCGCAGGAACAGGAGCGATCTATGGCACGTTAGTGGGAAGAAAGTTATACTTGGACAGTGAAGAGAAGATACGTACGTTGAAGTCGAATGTTACGTTGTTGGCCTCTATGACGGTGAAGAGGTAGACAAGCTGATCATTGTTAGCATTGCAGTTGCGCGAGGGCATGGCCGCAAACATACCACTTCGTGCTCAGTCCAGCCCTTGGGAGTTCCTTCGGTCGACATGTCGTTTTCTTGTAGAATATATTGTCGTTTTAATAGGCGTTCCTTCGATGTGCAAGATGTTGTCGTGATAGCGGCGAGGTAAGGAAGAAGTAACAGCGGTGGAGAGAGAAAGGGTGAGGTGAGAGCACGAAGGACGTTGATATCCGTAACGAGAAGACTGCCAAGCGGGGCAAAATCCGTCCTCACCGTAAGTTCGTAAAGAGTCAACGCGGCACGTGGTGCTTCGTGCAGTGTGCACCATACGTGGTGAAGGTGAGTCAGTTGCTCACGGCAACGCGATAGCCGCCTTATGGATCGTGTATGCTGTGCCGATTCGACTCGATGGTTTTCAAACAAGGAAAACCTCCAAAATATAAATTCTTCAAGCTATCACGATGTATTCCATAGGTATGCGACATGCTCCACTGATTACCTACCCTAATTTGATGGGCACCCGGCGTCGAGAGACGATAGCAAGGATCAGTCTCGATGAAAACCATCAAATATCGCAGATGCACTTACATGTTGTGCGATATCTTCTGAAATGGCCAGATGTAAATTGAAAGACGAAGTTGGAGTGAAACTGACAAAGTGACCAACGAAGATGCAGCCCAGAATAGCAGAATGTACAATACCTACCTGGACAGTGTATAAGAAGCCATACCCAAGCGAGCTTCCCACTGTCGCAAAGAGATGTTTGCAAGTGCCCAATTGTCTATAAAAGTCGTCTCCATCCACAATGTCTTTTCAAATGGTGCTTGGTATGGAACTTCCTGTCTCGACATCAATTTTTACGTCCAAGCACTCATACCATACACAACGTCAAGGCTGCGATATCAGATCGTATCATATCTAATAACATTGTGATGACCTGTTAAAAGACGAGGTATCGCCCTGGTCGAAAGCCAAAAAACACCCCATACCCAAAACAGGCAGTCAAACACGGCCACACACTAGCAGCTGCCAGCCACCTCAACCACCAAGTCGTCCCGATTCGACCCGCTCCGACCATCTCGCATACGGCGATATGCGAACCATTGAATCAGTGCGTACCGGTGGATGTGGGTCCGGAGTAGAAGCGGGCCTTCCCGTGCGTCGATGAGCCACCGCATGCGGCACCGAGGCTGGCACGGGTCTGTGCCTACTATAGTTCGAGGGGTTTTGATAAGGGTTCGCGTGCTCTACGGGATTGGTCGGGTTGATAAGAGGAGATGTTCGAGGCGTGCGGATCGTCTTATCGTCTTACTGTATCTTTGTGAGATCAGACGGCGGATGAGGGGTCGGACAGTGAGGGGGTCCGCGTCGGGGGGCTGTTGGGCGCTTTGGGTACTCTCAACAAATACTCTCCTTGAGAGTTATGCTAGCTATCCGGTGTGACACTAAGGTGAAGATAGAGACATTGATCTTGGCCGCTTGAGGTCACAGAAACGAAGTCAGGGAATTGCAAATATTGTCCATAACATATGTATTGTCATTCCAGTGCGCTCAGCTGCACCAGGTCGGAGGTATCTAGGTGTACTACAGGTCATCGTGAGAAGCGATTAAATGTAGTAGGGTATCGAAATCCGTCCAGCCATCCCACAGAAAAGGAAATTTTGTGACCCATTGCCCAGTCTAAATGATATCAAGACCGAAAGAAGAAAAAAGGTAAACCTAAGTGGCTAACCCTGACGCCAAAGAACATGTCGACGAAGTAGAAAGCTACAAGTGAGCAACACCGTTTGTGACCTCAGCGACACCGACGGTGGTGCCGTTCAACTTTTCACTTGCGTAAAGTTGTTGAGAGACCTTCTTGTCGAAGTACTTGGGCTCGGTGTATGGGTCGTACATGTTCTTCTTAATGTAGGCGTCGAGCTGCTCGTCGGTAAGACCACGGAGCTCGGTAGCGCGGTCAACACCGTTCTTCTGAGCTGCACGGATGACACCGCGGGTTACGATGACGGAGACTTCGCGGATGCGGCGGATGTCGGGGTACAACCAGCCATCGGCGCGCTCTTGCTTGTTCAATGAAGTCGACAGTGATTCCGCAGAAGCGTAGATCATGTCTTGGGTGACAGAGACGGCCTTGGAGATAATGGCACCAAGTCCGATACCAGGGAAAACATACATGTTGTTTCCTTGGCCAGGGGTGAGCATCTTTCCGTCGAACTCCATTGAGGGGAAGGGAGAGCCGGAAGCAAACAGGCAGCGTCCCTCAGTGGCGACGACAGCCTCCTCGAAGGTGCACTCAGATTTGCTTGAAGGGTTGGAGAGAGGGAAGATGATGGGGTGGTTGTTGAGCTTGGCCATCTTCTCAAGGATGTCCTTGGTGAAGGCACCGCCGATGGTCGACAGACCCATCAGGATAGTGGGCTGTACGTAATCGATAAGGCGGCTGAGCGACTGGTATTGGCGGCCGTTGTTGTCGTCACGAGCAAAGAAGACCTTGTGCTCGGCCAGCTTGTCACCACGGTCCAGGGTAACGAGACCGTTTGAGTCGACGAACCAGAACTTGCGCTTGGCCTCGTCCTCTGTCAAGCCCTCCTTGATGAAGTACTCAACGATCTGCTTGGCAACACCAACACCGGCACTGCCAGCGCCGAGGAAGATAGCCTTGTGGTCCTTGGCGGGAACACCAGAAGCCTTGACGGCGTTGATGAATCCACCGACAATGACGGCACCAGTTCCCTGGACGTCGTCGTTGAACATGGCGTATTGGTCTTGGTAGCGTTCTAGGGCGGGGAAGGGGTTCTTGAAGTCCTCGAATTGGATGACGATGCTGTCACACGATCAGTTTCCTGAAAAGAATACGGATGTAAAATACATACCTGGGCCACTTGTCGGTAAGGGCAGCCATGAGCTCGTCAAGGAACTCCTTCTCCTGCTCAGGAGTAACCTTGGGCATGCGAGATCCCATGTAGAGGGGGTCGTCACGGAGAGCCTTGTTGCTGGTTCCGAGATCGAGAGTCAAGGGCAGGGTGCTGTCTGGCTTGATACCAGCGCAGGCGGTGTAAAGAGCGAGCTTTCCAACGGGAATACCCATGCCGTTCACACCAAGGTCACCAAGACCCAAGATGCGGGATCCGTCTGTGAGAACGGTGATGTCGACCTGGTGCGGCCAGTTGTCGAGGATCTTGCGGAGGTTGCCGCGGTCGCTCCAGGAGAGGTACATGCCCTCGGGTTGTGTCCAGATTTCGTGCCATCGTACGCAGGCCTCGCCGACGGTGGGGGTGTAGATAAGGGGAGTCAGTTCCTGGGTATGTTAATTCATTGCCCTAGAGATACTACTGAGTTCTCACATACTTTGATGTTCTCTCCGAGAAGACGGTAGAAAAGATGTGGGTTGGTAGCCTTGAGGTGAACGAGGTACTGGAACTTCTCAATGGGCGCCGTCTTCATGGCAAGGAGCCTGAGGCCTTGGTTGGGTCAGTAGTGATATTTGGATAGTCGGTGTTTGACATACATCGCTCGCTCTGGATGTCGTAGCTCTCGACGGCGGGGGGAGTGAGGCCGTATGTGCCCAGGGTCCTGCGGACGTCGGGTGTGTAGGACAGGTCGTAGTCACCCGAAGTGGTGCTCAGTTGGCGGGCCATGTTGGGGCGTGTGGCGGAGGGCATGTTGTCGTTTGCTATAGTGGCCATACAACGAACGAAGGAGGGTTTTTGGATTGAAGAACGGAGGCCTTGGGCGGGAGCCGTAACTTTTATAAGCGGTCTGAATCGCTGCATTGAAATGAGCTGAAACGACGCGTCGGCAATTGAAAAGGAATTAGGAAGACAGCCCGCCTGGGGCGCGGAGGATGGGGGGCTACATAACAAGCAGCCTATCGGAGGGGTCAAGGTTCCGCAACAGTCAGTCTGTGAGGAGATCCGTTCTCGCCGTCAAAGTGTGCCTGTAAAGGAAGCATGGACCAGCCCGTTGGTGACTTTTACGCGAGTCCCTTCCCCAAGTTTACTATCTTGCCGCGTGCACAACTGCAGCTTCAACACTACACTCAAAACAAATCATATCGCATTCTAGGACACTCTGTCACCATTCCAGAGTCTTCACAGTTTGTCTTCCAGAATTTTGCTCGAATCCTGAGGGATGCCGATGCTCGTCGTGTCACAGCCACAGCCACCGGGTAGCAGGGGTCATGACTGGACGTGCATACGAGTCGGGAGCAATCGGAACGCCCATATTTGCCTTGACGGAATGCCGTAGGATTCTTCCATGGGCTTCAATCTTCGTCCGCTCACCTTCTGTGCTATCTTGCTTTTGCCGGTACTCTGACCTAGCTGGAAAGTAGCCCGAACGGCTCTCACCCGCGCCCTCGTCTGTGGTATACCGCTGTTTTCTTTTGGTCAACGACAGCATGCCCGTAGCCCAATACCGCGCTCGTTGCGAGGTCAGGCATCGAGGCATTTTATTTCCGTAGTCAATGCGCAGCGCCGCGTTGCAACAGCGTGCTTATTATTAATCGCGTTGATCTTACGGGAAATGTCTCATGGCCATTCGCCACATGGTACCTTGAAGTGCTGTCGCGTTACTCAGGTCAAGCGGCCCCGATGGACATTAGCCACTAATAGCCAGAAGCCATCACCGTCTACTCCTTCGCGGGTCCGCACCGGCTCCATGAAAGCACACCGCGACCCGACGATTGCTAAGCACTACGAGCGGTGTGTCTTTGTACCGCAGACGGAGCCGCTGAGGGCAACTTTTTTTACGCACACGGTACACCCCTGACTGTTCGCTAACGGACCGTTGGTGCCATGCCAGGGGAAGCGCATGCAGCATCCGATTGCTTTCGGCCCATGTCTGCGACAAGAAGAATGGGCGCCTCGACGAGTAGTCGACTGTCTATATCCGTGATATCCGGATCGCATCTCAGTATCGGAAGTCCGATTCAATGCACGTTTGATCTCCTTTGCGATATGGACGAGGTCTCAGACCCTATACTTGCAGATGCGACAGTGGATCACCCGCGCGGTTGTGTGGGGAAAGCTTGATGGCTTGGGTAAGGTAGCCGCCCTAGGGCTCTGCGCCCAGTTCCTGCTCCTCCG